CGGGTCTGGAGAGGTCTGCCGCGCCTGGAGAGGTCTGCCGCGCCAGGTGGTCACCTCCAGGGCAGGTGGGGATCGAACTCATGTGGAAGTGGCTTAAGCTTCTTAGTGCAGTGCTTTAACCTGCTGTGCCACCAGGGAGGGCCTATATCACCTTTTAAGAGTGTTAAGTATTATTGCCTAACTTTGGTGTCAGGGCAATGTTGGCTTTCTAAGATGACTACAGCAGTATTCGTTTCTCTTCTTCTTCTTCTTTTTTTTTTTTTTTTTTTAAAGATTTATTTATTTGTACATACAGAAGTGGGGTAACCAAAAAAAAAAAAAAAGAAAAGAAAACAACAAAATAGCATTGAAAGATTAGAAAAAACCTAAATAGATAGTGAATCTTCATGGCTTGAAAGACTTAAATTATGAAATTTGTAATACTTACTGAATTGATCTATAAATTCAACATGTATCTAGCTGCCTTTTTTGTAAATACTGACAAAGTATTTTTAAAATTCCTATAAAAATGCAAGGAATTCAGAATGGCCCAAACAAACTTGGAGGCCTCACACTACCTGCTTTCAAAACTTACTACAAGTAATTAAAAGAGTATAGAACTGACATTAGAGTAGGTACGTAGGTCTGTGGAATTGAATTGAAGCTCTAGAAATCAACCCTCTCACTTATGATCAATTGATTTTTGACAAGGGTGCCATTATAATTTAATGGAGGGAAGAACGGTCTTTTTGGAAAATGGTGCCAGAACATTTGGATAGTCACATAATACTATTTGGATAGTCATCATAATACATCCTATGAGAAATACAAAGTCGGGAAAGTGAGAGAATACTGGGGCTGAAGATTAGCATTTTAAATAGAAATCATATTAGGGCTCACTGAAAAGGTAACAGGTGAACAAAGACTTTTCTTTAGGAGATGAGGGAGTCAGGTGAGTATTTAGGAAGAGAGATTTTTTGAGTCTTGATTTGGACTTTTTACTGCTCATATGTATGACCTTGCCTAAGTTCATTAATAGCCTTTGCCTCAGTTTCTTTACCTGTAAAATAGTTATTATATTTTCTATTAAAAGGATTAATAGTGCTTATTTGTAAAGGTTATTATGTGGAATAAATTAATAAAAAAGAAATTAAGGCACTTAACAATAGTAAAACGCTTTATCATTATTTTCATTAGCTCCTATTGCAAGGACAAAAGCTCTTGCAAACATGTCTGGAATGTCAGCTGAATCAGAGAGACCAGCTGGAGCTGATATTGAATGAGTAAGAGGAAGATTGCAGGAAGTGGGAAGAGGACTTGTGACTTTTCCTCTGAAATGAGAAGTCACTGGAAGGTTTCGAACAGAGAAAAGACAACATGTGATTCATGTTTTAATACAACACACTGTGTTGAAAATAGTCTAAGATGGGACAAGGTTGTATACAAATAAACCAATTCTATTACTGTAACAAAAGGTGAGAGAAACGCTGGCTTTAACCTGAGCAATTGTTGGAATTCAGCTTATATTTATTGTGATGAGGGAAGGAAGTTTGAAAGAGAGGCGTTTTTTCTTTTGGTGCTTAGCAGAGATAGTGGGTTAGACAATAGCAGGGTGGGGCTGGAATCAAGATTTCAATTTTGGTCATCATTAACTTGAAATGCCTATAACACACCCAAGCAGAATGGTGGTCAGGGGGAGAGGATCAGACTGGAAAGAAGACAGGTCATTCGTCCTTCCACAATTGTTTATTGAAAACCTATCCCGTGTCAGGTCCTATGCTACCTCCTATTTTAGGCTCTGGAGAGTCTTCCGAGAATACTAACAAAACTCTCCTCGGCCTCACCTACTAACGGTCATAAATAAACCAGCACTCAAGCGCACAGTAATGTCTGTAAACTCTTTAGCTCTCCAGATGGGATCACTGCTAATGTTGTTTTTAATATTCGGAATATTGCAAGTACTAGAACATGGGCGGTGCGATTTAGGAGCACCTTTTCTTCCACGCGGGTGGAGACAGCCCTTGCAGGGGCCGGATTTCTAACGCAGCGGAATGGCAGTTTTGCGCAGGCGCAGCCTCACTTTGGCGTCCTAGGAGACGAACTAGGGAAGTGACGGCGCAGGCGTAACTCAAGCAGGCGTGAAAGCCTGGGACCAGGAGGTGGGGCGGGGCGAGCTCGAAGTGCGCCTGCGCACGGCGTGCTCTCGCCTGAGGAGCCGCAGTCTCGAGTGCGTCCAGGCGGCGTATAGGTAACCTCTGGCCTGCCTCTCCCGCGAACCCGGCGTGGTTGGACTGCATCCAGGGCGGGGACGTACGCCGGGCACCGGCAGGAGCCAAGATGCCGGTGAGAAGAGGCCCTCAGCCTCAGGGGTTTCTCCTCATCCTAGCGGCCTGGCTCGGGGGCGCGGCCGTTGCCATGG